TGTGTGTATGTGTATATAATATATGTGGTATACATATGCTGGTTATTATTATATAACGGTCTAGTGTGTTGATTTTTCACATTTGTTACTAGTAAATCACTAGATTTGATTGTTATCATATTAAGAGGAAAGATAATGTGAGGAAACACAAGTTGTAAATAATATTTTTATATTTCCGGTGTAATACTCGTTAATCGGTTCACGGGTATAATTTTATTTCAATAAATGTGTGTATACACACATACATACACGTGCGAGTTTGACACGTAATGATTTGTTTTGTGTGTTGTCAATGTTGTTTCTTTTCTTTTCCTAATATAAGATTCATCGTTTAAGTGTATTATATTAACACTTAGCCAACCAATCGGGTAGATCTACCCAGTTCAATGTAATTCTGATCGGGTAGATCAATTTAGTTCAATGTAAGTTGGTACCTGGATCAATTAGGGTGATTTTCTCATTTTAAACTAAATCGGTGATTGACCGATCGTTGATCTCGTTGTCATTAGACTCGTCATTAGCAACACGTTTCCTTTTTTTTTTTAATGACTTGTTCATTACTGACCAACTGTTTTTATAATTAAATCCATCAATTTAATTTGGTTTGCTCCAAGTATGGTGGAAATCGTACAATTCGCTGCGAGTTCAGGGTCAGCTAAGTGTTAAGAAAAATTAATATTGCAATCAAAAATATTATAATATATACAATAATAATTAAACATTTAGTTTGACCAATTGTTTCTATAATAAAATCCATCAATTTAGTTTGCTTTGCTTGAACGTGGTAGAAATCGTACAATTTGCTACAAATTCAGGGTTTGCTAAAAGTGTTAAGAAAAATTAATATTGCAATTAAACATTTAGGTTGTTGAAGAAACGAAGTATTATTTGAAGTACCGAAATATGTTGATAAAAAAAAAAAAAAAAGATGAAAAAACTTTGAGTAAAAATGTCTTCTGTAGTATTACTCGACTCCATTTTCAAAAGGAAGAATCCACTCAGCTGTTAAGCACTTTCTGCGAGAGAAAGAAATAAAAAAAAAAAAAAAGAAGAGAAGAGAAGAGAAGGGAATGAAAGTAGGGTGTGATAGAATGAGGGGAAGGGATAGAGGGGTAAAAAAGAGATAGATAAAAAGAATAAAGTATATATATACATGTAAGTATAGTGGTGGGTCATGTGAAGGCATCGTATAGGGTGGAGTCTCGAAAACCCAGGACGACGCACTCTGGTTAGGCGTGCGCTCTGAGCATATCGGCTTTTTGGGAGAACCTTGGTCGATGTTCCTAGTTCCTGGTGTAACCTACGGGATCGGTTACAGCCCAAGGAAGCCACACGATTGGTCCATTTTGTCAGTGATACCCGCCCACGCAACGTTATCGCGCAACTTACTCGTTCAATCATTTTTTTTCTTCTTCTTTCCCTTCTTTTTTCTCTCTCTCTCACACTTATATTCTTGTTCTTGTTTAATATTAGATTGATTTATCTTTTATCTTTAATCTTCTATCATCTTTCTTCTCATAGATTATCTTTTTGGTTTTATTTTTTCTATGTTTTGTTTTAAAATTGTGCAATTAATTTGAAACGAAATGTGATAGACAAATAGAATTCATTATTTTTTTTTGGTGTAAATGTTTTTTTAGGTATTTTTATTAAATAATTATTTTTATATATATATATGTGTGTGTAATATTATGTATTTTTTTTATTTTAAATAATTATTAATAATGTTTGGTACCTTGTAATATACGACGTCTGATTGACATATCATTTCGTAGCTGTAAAATTGGAAAGATTAATATTTTAAGTTTGATTGAAGGAATTTAGGGTAAGGGTAGATTGGTTGGATTGTGGTAAAAGGTGGAAGGGAGATGGGAATAGTTTTAGAATGAGATTAGGTATAGAAAGTACTCGTCATTTAATGTCATAATAATCTGTTGATATATTTTCGCGTGAATTGTATTTACAGGCGTAACTAATAATATAATAATAATAGTTTTCATAATAATAATAATAATAATCAGAAATAATAATCAAGAATATAATAATAATAATAATAATAATATAATAATAATAATAATAATAATAATAATATTTCATGACAATGCTGCACTGTTTTTATTATTTTTTTTTCATTTATTTATTTATTTATTTTCATCGATATATTTTAAATATCCATTTTAATTTCGCGTTTATTTTAATTCTTAACGTAACATACTCATACTTCGTGTATTTCGTATGCAGGGCCGTATTATGTTCATATTTATAGGGTCCGATTATACAAGGAATTTTTTTCTTCTTACTAATGTAATTTTATCTACAAAGAGAAATGTAGGGTCGTTTCAAGAATTAGCAAACTTTATCTCGTATATTTGTATTTTTTATTTTTTTTATTTTCTACTATCATCATCATCATCATCATCATTGTTATTATCATTATCATCATTTTATCATAGTTCAATTTTGCCAAAAATAAGAACGATCGAATTAATTATCATTGGCAAAATTTACGAATAAGTTTAATTGTTTTTTGTTTTTTTTTTTCAATTTTATTTTATTTTATTTTATTTTGAAAGTTAGCATTACTTGAAAGACCCGGTCAATTACTGAATTTACAAGTCGCTAGTTTCTACTTTAGATTTAACAAGGTATGCTGTTGTTGCTGCTGACGCAATGAGTAGGACTTGACAGGTAAAAAGGGAGAGAAAGAGAAAGAAGAGGTAAAGAAAGGGTGGGTGGTTATGAAGAAAGTGGAAAGTAAGGAAACACGCGGTGACAGAGGGTTGGTTGGGGGATGAACGGGCTAATCGTGATAGGAAAATGTAAAATTAGTTTTGTCCGACGTCTCAATTTTTTTTTTACTTCGAACATGTTTTTTATTTTTTATGCTTTCGAAGAATTTTATTCGAAGAATTTCAGTTTACGTAAAATTCAAGTAAATTCAGTTAACATTCTTCTATAGTTTCTATTATGGTTTCAAGTAATGATACATCATGAAATATATTTGTTTTTTATTTTTTTATTACCGTATTAACCCTTTTCCCTTATGACTGTAATTATTGTAGGTTATTATTATTACTTTACAGTAAGTTATAATTTAAAATTGCAAGTTGATATGAGTGATATTTATTTTATCGTATACAGTACTTCACATACGATAATGTAATCAAATAATTTTTGCAATGTATAATAATTATTATATTTTGTTTTTTTGTTATTCTTTCTGTTTGTTAATGTGCTATTATTATTATTATTATTATTATTATTATTTTATTTTATATTAATATTAATATTAATATTATTAAATTTGGATTATTTTCAGAACGTATTTTAAATTAACTTAAAAATTTACAAATTTTTTGTTAATGATGATGAATTTATAGTTTATTTGAAATTTGATAATTTTATCAATTAATTTTTAAATACACCAATCAGCATTCAACATGTAATCATAATCCAGTGATTATAAAAATCATTTTTTATGAAAAAGGAAAATGGGTTGTTTCGAATTTCAATGAGACGATCGGAACAAACTAATTGTAAAATATACGATGTAGAAAGTTTAATTACTTTTTTTTATCATTTCTTTTTTTATAAATAAATTCGGAAAGTTTTAAATATCATTCAAGTGTGACGTCGATTTTTTATGGGGGTTGGAGAACGATGAGGAAGAAGAGGAGGAGGATACACGACACCGTGCAAAAAGGAAGAAATTTCTAATATTTCAAATATATGTATATATATTATAGTACATATACATATATTTATAATATACATAGTATATATATATATTAATATGTTATATACAGTGAACTGTAATTATTATCCGTATGTTTGCTGTAAATTTGAAATAATTCATCTTTGTAATGAAAAACTTGTACAACTTTAGTTTATTTATACGAATATTTTATTTATTTTTATGCAAAAATGTATTATTATTTTTTTTTTTTAAGATTATTCAACATTATTAAATTGATAATATAATATGATATTGTAAAAAAAAAAAAATATTTTATTATTAAAGAAATATAATATTATTTGAAATTATATTAATATAATATAATATATTATTCTTACAAAAGGAATAATATATTATTTTTTTTTTTATTGTATTTGCATTTAAATAAAATATAATAAAATTACAATTAATATTATATTTTGTCATTGTAATAATACTTGATCAAATATTGTTAACTTAATTGATAATAAAATATTTTTATTGCAATTATCAAATTTTCTATATCAATTTAATCAAAGTCAAATTCTTATTCTTACAAAATTACAAAATTTTAATTAATATTAAAAAAAAAAAAGAAAAAAAAAACAAATATATTATATTCAAAAAAATTGACAAATACGAATAATAAAGTTCACTCACTGTATATACACTGTATATATATATATATATATACCATGTATATGATTATTATGTCATACACATGATTCTTTCGGACGCTATTTACAAGCCGAGTAAATTTATTTTAATCAGATAGAGAAAGGGTGTGTGTGTGTGTGTGTGTGTGTGTGTATGTGACACAAAATAACATTTTACGTTAAATCGTAAGAAATGGGGGATGAAAAACGAGATAATCCCTTCATCGTTAAACTAAATTTCTTCATAATGATTACTAATAATTGTATTCTCAATTTTTATATATATATATATATACACACAAAAAGAAAAAAAGAAAAAAAAAGTGATATAATAATCTAATAATATATCAACCATATTACATATTAATAATAACCCTCTCCCAACCCTTTGTTTTTTTTTCCTCATATTCCCTTATACATCTTAGATCGAGATATTGCACTCGTCTTTTTTTATTTTGTGCAATCGATTCGACACAATTCACCCTCATTCGTACTTCAACACAACATTTATAATCTCACTCATCACACCAAAACGTTGATCGTTAAAATCACGAACCAATCGACCCGCACAAACGGCCTTTTTTTTTATTTTTTTTTTAATTTTTATATTTTTCCTTCCCGTTTGGTCCTTAACCCTTTCGCTACGGTGGGCCTCGCCGCGAAGTACCTCGTCTAGAACGGAGCGCCGTACCGAAAGTGGGAACATTAAGCGCGCGCAGTCTTTAGCATTCGGAGCCTATTGTCTCAAAAACGACTTTGTGACATTACTTTTAGAACCAAAATGATTTTTGTTCATAATTATGTGACTATAGTCTATGACTATAGTCACCCGTCGCGTATAGGTGGCATCGTGTGACGGGTGACTATAGTCACCCGTCGTGTGCGGGTGTCGTTTTGTGGCGGGTGACTATAGTCACCCGTAGTAGTGAAAGGGTTAAACGGATCCTTCAAAAGCAAAAAAAGAAAAAAAGAACAAAAAAAAAAGAAGTCGTAGTATTTGTCGCAAAATCACTAGAAATATTTCGCGAAATATTGCTTGTTTCTCACACAAAAGGGTTTTATTCGAAAACTGTCCCTTATCCCCCACCATCTCCTCTTTTTTTTTATTTTCCATTCTTCACAAAGATATTCACCAGAAAATTCACAAACCCTTAGGTTTCCATCACCAAATCGCGCACTGATCATTCGAAACGATTTTCTTCATTGAACAATTGTTCTCTCACTTGTGTGTGTATGCTCATCGATTGAAACATTTTCACAATACTTCGAAATGTCTTTGTTGTAGATTCCCGGTTGTTGACACTTCGTAATTTGACATCAACGAACGATCATCATCAATTTCGTTGTCCGTAACAACGATTTCTTCGTTTGAATCTCTGTCGTATCACGCCGGCGAAAATGGCCTGTGAATTTGGGGTGGTTTTGGATTAACGACAACCGGTGGTGTAGCGACCCTTATTAAACCTTGACCTTGAGCCTGGCCCTGAGGAGTAGGCTGATTTGATGATGGACTACCTCTTGAGGATGGTGTGTGCGGACTTGGAACAGCCACTCTCAACGGACCCGTTACAGACAGATTCGTTGCCATCAATGGTGGACTGTGTGGTTCTGAGAGTCCATCGGATAACCTGGAGCCCTCAGATATCCTAGATATTCCCTCGGGTAAAGGATGCTGCGGATGGGGATGATGTAGCAAACTTTCGTGAGGATGCAACCTCGGGGGTGGTAGTCCAAGTGGATCTGGCAGTCTACGAATAGATAAAAACATTTCGTTTTGTTTAATTGGTTGACAAGGTTACTTAATTGTATTATTAATTCATGAATTTGTTAATTAATTATTTAAAGGTATTTTATTAATTGTTATTTACCTTGATCCAAGATCACCTCTAGGTCCTACCGCTTGAAAGGGACTGGTTTCAGTAAGCCTGAACATTCCACCACCTACGATGTTAGGATGATTATGTTGAGGACTATGAGGACTATATCTAAAAGCACCAGGGAATTTGAAGCCTGTCGTTTGACTAAATCGGTACGATTGATTTGGATCGAAACGAAAACTTATTCCGGGTGGTGGAAGTGGACCAAGTGGACCCAATGGTACGGGAGAGGGTTGATGAGTTGGAGTTGGTGAGGAATTTGGTGACGCTTGTGATGTTCCTCCCAATGAAATATCTGAATCTTCGGAATCGCTACCACCAGGTCCTGGACTCAAATTACGTCGATTGTTTCCATTTCCTGGACTCGATTGTTGCTGCAATCTGAAACAAATGAATCATACGTTTGAATAATGTTTTATTTATTTTGTTTTTTAAATTAACCCTTTCGTTTCGGCAGTCTAGTCCTCCGAACTGTCGTTGCAAAGAAGCACGCGTGGATGTCGGATATATCCGGTGCTCGAAACGAAAGGGTTAAATAATATTGGTGTCAAATGTATGGTCATTAGTTATAATATTTTGAAATTTGTCATTATATTACATATTACTAGATAATATTGTCTAGTTACTTTATTTTTAAGAACTTAATCGTGTATCTGTTACTGGATGTGAACTGACAGTTTAACGAAAAGGTTAACGAAGTTCATCGTCAGTACGAACTCTCGTAGCTGGTCAGCTTTTGATAGAAGATGAGGTGCGTGGGTGTAAGATCATCGTTGGGGAATTTTAATCGTTCTCTTGGTTCACCATACATACATATATATATATATATATATATGTGTGTGTGTTGAATGTGCACCTTAGTGAAAACGCTTTTGTTTCCAGTCATCACACCGGTGCGCACGCGTAATTAATGAGTGGGTTCATCCTTCCCAGGTGAGCAGCAAGGATTCACGGGAGAGTAACGATGATTCTTCTTTATTCGTTTGTGTTTTAGTTTCTTTGGTAAAAGAAAAAGAAAGAGAGAGAGAGAGAGAGAGAGAGGAAAAAGGGATCCACCTCATTACTCAAGAAAGATTAGAAATAGATATAGAAATTCAACAACAACTAAATGTTCCCACGCAACAAGCAACTATCCTTCTTCCGGGCGACAAGAAATGACGAATAACTTTCAACCATAAAGAGAGATTCTTCATTTTCGCACCTAGACTTGTCGACAAGGAAACGATTAGTTTGTGTGTTTTTACCATGGGGGAAATGGGGGAGTAGAATTTTTTACCACACACGACGATCACACACGAATTATATTTTAAATATGTACGATGTAATTAGTAGTATATTGTGTATAATAATATATTTAATAATTTATGTTAAGTTTAAGGTTTAAATGGAATTATAAATATATATATGGTTAACAATTTTATTAATTTATTTTATTAGTTGTTTAATTTTATTGTTATTTGTATTTTTAGTTATTAGGGTTAACTTAGGTTATTAGGTTATTAGGGTGAATTTTTTAATTTATGTTGTGTTTAATAATATATTTAATAATTTATGTTAAGTTTAAGGTTTAAATGAAATTCTAATTTGTTTTTTTTGGTAAACAATTTTATTAATTCATTTAATTGGTTGTTTATTTTTATTGTTATTTGTATTTTTAGTTATTAGGGTTAACTAATAGTTTGTGAATTTTTTAATTTATACTGTATGTAATAATATATTTAATAATTTATATTAAGTTTCAGGTTTTTAGATCGAATCCCCTAATTTGTTTCTTTGGTAAACAATTTTATTAATTTATATAATTGGTTGTTTATTTTTATTGTTATTTTTATTTTTAGTTATTAGGGTTACCCAAAAGTTTGAGAATTTTATAATTTATATACTGTATATATTTAATTATTTATTATTAATTGTATATTCAATAATTTATGTTAAGTTTAAGGTTCAAATTGAATAGCAGGTTGTTTCTTTGGTTAACAATTTTCATTATTTATTTAATTGATTGTTTATTTTTATTTTTTTATTTTTTTATTTTTTTATTAGTTATTAGGGTTAACCAAAAGTTCCGTGAATTTTTAAATTTATTTGTTCTTTTGCCAAAAAAAAAAAAAAAATTTTACACCAGCAAAAAAAAAAGCCCAATTTGACTGATTTATTTATTTATTTATTTTTTCTTCTCCCTCTTTTCCCTGTTTACCAAGTATGTGTGTGTATGCGGGGTTGTTGAGGGTTTAAAATACAATGGAAAAAAAGGAAAGAATAGGGGAAATAAATACTTTTAAAAGTAAAGAAGATTTTGACGTTTAGATGGTAAGAAACGATGATGGTCTTCTGAGCTATTGTCTACGATGAAGAATCCTTTGCTACTTCAAAAAGACAATGAGAGAAAGAGTGAGTGAAAAAGAGAGAGAAAGAGAGAGAGAGAGAGAGAGAGAGAATGAGAGAGAAAGCTTGCGGTTCCCTTAAAAGCCCTTCGGAACTTCAGATCGATTGAAACCGACAGACCTCCCAAGATCCTCTCTCGTATTTTCGTTGCTAATCGAGTCCCGAAGCTTCGAACTGTTACCACGGTAACACCTCCAACTGATCCTGGAGTAGATTTTTCTTCCTTTTCTTCTTTTTCTTGTTCTATCATCGACAAAAGAAGATTCTTCTTCTTCTTCTTCTTCTTCTTCTTCTTCTTCTATTTTTACTTTTACTTTTTGTCTGTATTTCATTCTTTATTACAAATTCGATTTCGTATAGGAACTTTTTTTCATTTTTTGTATTCGAATACAAGAAGAATCTTTTCAAATTGATTTTATTCTATATTTTCATGTTATTTTGGCAAAAAATTAAAATAAAAAGAAGAAACTAAATTAAGGGATGTTAATAAATGATAGAAGGGTGGATTATTTAAGTGAATTTTTGTATTTCAAAGTATATTTATTTTTATTTTTATTTTTTTGTGATTTATATGGAGTAATTGTTAAGATGTATATTTTAATATACTTGTCAAAGGTATTATTTATTTGTTATTTTATTTATTATATTATATATTATAATTAGTATTACAATTAATATATT